CATGAATAACGTGGTGACTATGGTTATTAATACTATACTGTTGGCCAGGCATGATGGCTCAGCCTATAATCCCAGCACTTTGGGTTGCTGAGGCGAGAGGACTTCCTGAGCCCGGGAATTCAAGGCCAGCCTGGGCAACTTGGTGAAATCTCATCTCTACAATAAATCACAAAAATTAACCGGGCATGGTGGCTTGCATCTGTAGTTCCAGCTACTTGGAAGGCTGAGGTGGAAAGATCACCTGAGCCCAGTAGGTCAAGGCTGTGGTGGCTGTGAGCATGCCACGGCATTCCAGCCTGAGCAACAAAGAGTGAGACTCCAACTCAAAAAAAAAAAAAAACTTTACCGTTTACTTGAAAATTGCTAGAACAGAACTAGAGCCTTCTATCACAAAAAATTATGAATATGTGAAGTGCTATATACATTAGCTTGATTTAATCATCCATAATCATCAGATATCAAATCAACAAATAAAATATCATGTGATCATAATGCATATAATTTTTATTTGTCAATTACAGCTTGATAAAGCTGTGGTGGGGAGGAAACACAAACAAAACTAATAGCAAATAAAAAAGGCAACAAAGGACAGGCCCATAGTTGAACGGTCACATGCAGGTCACTTGTTAGGGTGAGTTGAGTCTGACCACACCCTCAGCTCCTGTTTTGTCAAGTAATGGATAAAGGGTCCATTCTGTGGTGGCCCTAGGTCCCCAAGTAGTGAGAGCACTTTGTCTGCGGCAGAACATATAAGGTCTGACAATTATGTTTGTGAACTTGCCACTGTGCAATTACATTGGCAGCACTGTAGAAACAGCTGGGTAAGGTTTCACAACCCTGGTATATCAGAGCCTCACAGCTGTGTTCATGAAAACGTGTGGCAGTGTCTTGCTGAGTGGCATTCATTATTGCTGTTGTGTGTTTTTGCATGCCACAACAAGAATGTTGGCGCTTGAATTAGAGCAATGGACAAACATTACATTTCTTGTTAAACTTGGCAAGAGTGGAAATAAAGTCAAGGATATGCTAGTTCAAGTTTATGGGGATAATGCCATGAAGAAAATGGCAGGGTACAAATGGATTAAATGTTTTTCGGAGGAGAGAGAAAGTGTCATTTATGAAGAGAGATCAGGACAACCAGTAATGAGCAGAACTGATGAAAATATTGCAAAAATCAATCGAATTGTGCATCAAAATTGTCGAGTGACTGTAAGAAGCATAGCAGACCAAATAAACACTGATAGAGAAATAGTTAGGGAAATCTTAACTGAAAATCTTGGCATGAGAAAGGTGTCTGCAAAAAATGGTCCTGAAAGAGCTCTTGCATCATAACAATGCACCAGCTCACACAGCACTGTCTGTGAGGGAGTTTTTAGCCAGCAAATAAATAACTGTATTGGAACATCCTCCCAACTCATCTGATCTGGCCCCCAGAGACTTTTCTCTTTACCCAAAGATAAAGAAAATACTGAAAGGAAGATATTTTGATGACATTCAGGACAAGAGCTCTGTTGACCATTCCAGAAAAAAAGTTCCAAAATTGCGTTGATAGGTGGACTAGGTGCTGGCATTAGTGCATAGCCTCCTGAGGGGAGTACTTAGAAGGTGACCATAGTGATAATCAGCAAAGTGGTATGGAGCAGTTTTTCTAGAGTGAGTTCGCAAACTTAGTTGTCAGACTTTGTACACTTAGAGGCTTTAAGCAACAACACAAACTTACTCTCTATGAGTTCCAGAGTCCATAAGTCCAAAATGAGCCTTCTGGGAAAGAACCAAGGAGCTGTAGGATTGATTCTCTCTGCAGACTCCAGAGTATAATCTGTTCCTTGCATCTTCCAGCTTCTAGAAGCTGCCTTTTTCCTTGGAACCTGGCCACATCCTTCCACTCTCCACTTCCATCATCACACATGCTTTCTGCCCCCCACAGACTTTCTTGTGCTGTCTCGTAAAGACCTCTGTGCAAACACCAAGATCACTAGATAATCCAGGTTAATTTCACCATTTCAAAACCTTCACTTAATCCTATCTGAAAAGCTCCTTTTGCTGTATGTGACACAGTTATTATCTAAGGTTACCATACCCCCTTAGATACTGGTGCTCTGAGCATCCTACTTGTGAAAATCATGTCTTTTCAATCCACATTTCCTCACTAATAGAACCCATTTACTCACATTTGGCAGCTGTATCTATGTCCAGGACTCTCACATGTGTTTCTTCAAGCACACTCCATCCAGTGCATTCCCACAAGCCCACGAGCACACTGCCTGCCTGTACCACTGACATCTCAAATCCAATGTCCAAACTTGAGCTTGCTGCCTCTTTACTTTTTATGCCCTAATTTTCTTCCTTCTCTAGCATTCCCATGGTCAGTAAATGGGAGTACCACATACTCAGGCATCAAATGGAAGATAGCTGGATCCTCCCAGACTCTACCCCTTTCGTTTCTCACAAAAGCTCATTATTGAGTCATGCAATTCTCTTTTAAGAGCCACCAAGTCTTGCCTTTCCTTTCTATTCAACTCTGCTGTCCTAATGACCACTCTCAGTTTTTGTGGAGGGATTATTATCACTTTTGACTGACTTCCTACCTGCTTTTCAGAGCTGTCCTAACTCTTTTGATATGTTATCCTCAGGCGGATCTTTTAATTATGATAATCACATTCTTATGCTTCAAAATATCTTCTCAGCCTTTGCATAATGTTTTAAAATTTAGCTTCAGATTTCCTAGAGGAAGCACCAGTCATTTGAATAAATCCTAAAGAGGAGAAGAAAAAGAAAGAGAAAGAAGACTGATTTTCGTAAAATAGAAGTTCAAAAGACTTATATGGATGGGAATGGATAGGTTAAAAGTCTCATGAACAGCTGGAGTGAAAAGTTTTATAATAATGTCATCATTAGCCTGAAAGAATCATTGAAAACACACATTAGTTTGATCACTTTCATGATGAAATATATAGGATATATAGACTAAAATTAGATTAACATGAAAAAGTTTAATCTCCCAACTTATAGAATGCAATCTCGGGGACTTTCACTTTTTTATTTCTCATGGCCTTGATTGTGCCTTTTTCAGGCTCATAATGAGGACGGAGTGGGGACCATTGTCTGGCATGTTGGTGAACACATTTTGGATTGTGTTCATTTTCACCTCAGGAAACTGGGAAACATGTATTTTATTGAACTTTCAGAGACAAGGAAACTGAAGGCTCAGGGACAACTGGCCAAAAGTTCCAAGGTACATCATCAGTGGGCCCAGGAGCTACACCCAGTCCAGTTAACCTCAGAAGATTAATGTCCTCTTTTACATATGGTCTTTAACTGAGAAAAGAGGAAGAAAAATACAAGTGTTGTGAAGGGTCATTTTAGTTGGTTTATTCTTCCTGTTCCTGAAACACCAGGAGTTCAGTTGAGGTCCTGTTTTTCACAATACAGAAAGGCAATTCCTGAGACAATGGGTATAAAAACCAGAGAAAAGGGATTTTTATTTGAGTGATATCAGCCAAGGAGAATGGGAGATTCTGTCTCAAATTCATTTCCCTATCCCACTGAAGCCAGAGGTTTATATAATGGGGCAGAAATGTAGAAAACAGGAATTAGAAAGAAATCTGGCATCTCATCGTCTGGATGCAGTGATCTGGTAAGTTTCAGTTTCTTGATACTTTAGGTCTAAGGATCAGTTTCCTGAGAAAGGAACCCAGGTCAAATAAATGTATGTTTCAAGCTTTTAAGACCAAGATGGTCAATTTCTATGTTTATTCAAAAAACTGTAGCTGTTATTTCAATGAAGAAGTTGGGCTTGTTTCAATACACAATACACAAATTTTCTTTTCTACTTAGCTAACATGGCCAGAGGTTGAATCACATGTGGACCCAGAAGACGTCAGACATTGTTTCTGACCAGTCAGAACACACCAGATGCCTGGTGCAAACACAACAATACCCTGTAAACATTCTGTTCCCACAAAGAATAGAAGCCACTTCACTTCCTAACATCTTGACTGGGTATCAGAGCATAGAGTTGGTTTATATGGTGGGTAACCACCCTGGAAAGCAACTGAAGTTCACATTTCAGAAGAGTTACGGCCGCCGACAAAGTACTCAACAGCATACTTGGCTAAGAAGAGAAAAAAGGTCAGGTTGTAAAACTTTTTATTTTTCCATTTTCTAAGAGAAACTCATCATTGAAACTTGTAAAGTGGTCCTAGAGAGGCCATTATTTGGGCTGTATAACAAATATTAGCAGCTTCTTTCATCAAAGCTGACTGATGTTTGTCATGTTTGCAACGACCTCAGCTCAAATGTGCAGGTCACATAGGGGTAATTCATAGATCATAGTTCACTGAGAAATATTTCTGTTAGAATGGACTGTTGGTGTGGCCCTGCTTAACAAAATTAGTGGCTCAAAAATATCTACAAGAAGTATAAGATTAAGGAAACAAAGGTTGGAAAGTAGAAACGATTGATTTTGAAGCCTTTTCTTTGTTTTAACAACTCTGAAATTCTGAAATCATGTTATAAGAATAAGAATGCTGTAAGAAACTCAATAGGCACTTAGGAATTTTATTTATCACTTTTATGAAAGCTAAATTTCTAATATTATTCACTTTTTGCCACACAAAAATGTTAAGGAAAATCCATTTCTTTTAGTTCAAATAATTATTCCCAGTATTTTTATACTATTTGACATTGCCATAAATTAAGATAGGTTGTTACTAAGATATTTCAGTGATTAGAGCTGCCAAATATAAAAAATCTATTTTCAAATAATTAGAATATTTGAAGCCTGCTCAGCATTGCAGCTTGATTATATATCTCCCTGATTTGGAAGGCAATTTGGAATCTTGCAGACCTCAAGACCCCAAGCTGATGAAAATCAGTCTCATTGTAGAGCTGGCAGGAGGCAGTTGATAGAGATTCTCCCTGACAGGATGCCGACTCGCAGTCCCACTTACCCTTGCCATTGCTCGTTTCATGCTCTCTGTTCCCGTTTTGACTTTAGAATGAGAGTACTTGTACTCCTGACTGTCACCCTGGTTGTGGCCTGCACCTGCGTTTTCTTCCCTTTCGTCCTGAGAGGCAAAGAACTCCTCTGGGGTAAGTAACAAAAAAATATGGTCTTTTGACCCCATAAAGTTGTTTTTCACAGCTACCAGAATGGCAGCTTGTTGAGAGTCAGTGAAGGTCCCTAGTGTATAGGTTTAGTTGTACTTTTCAAAGGAAAACATTGTAATCCTTGAGTTTCAAAAGATTAAAATGCAGTACAATTCTTTCTAAAAAATAACGGATTTTTCTAAGATGACACAACAAAACATTCCCATTTTTGTCTGTTCATATATCTGAAAATTAAATTTCCTAGGGAGTAATTTTGCTCTTTTGCTACAAAAGCATTTGTTTATTAAATAACTTCTGTGATATATTTTCTGGAATCAGTGTATTATACGTTGTGAAATTAGGTAAAGAAGACTATTGAGGTGCAGTGGTTAAAATAATCACAAATCAAGCACTTTAATGTCCCCTTGAAATAAATAAATTAATTAAATAAAGGCCCAAACCCTGAGAACAAGTTTCACTGAGGTGAGCTTTGGAGGGGCATTAGTTTGGACATTTCAACCCCATGAACACTCTAGTTCCTGGAACAGGAGACACCCACTGGAAAGGTTTCTGCCTTTCTGGAAACCATCCTGGGCCCATTGCACAGTATGCTAGCCTTCTGCCTGTCCTGCTTCTCCCTGTTGGAGGTCTTCTCTGTCTTCCAGCACTGTCTGACTCTTCAAGTCCTTGTTGTCCTAGTCCACACCGAGCCCTGTCTCCAGCTGGGAGCCACAATTTTGGGTTTTCTTTTTTTTTTTAATTTTCCTGAATACCAGGACTTCATGACCGTATTACAAGCTATGCTGAAGTCTGTCACAGACTCATGGACTCCTTAAGAAGGCAATCTCCCCTCAAGGCCCTTCAGACATCCTGGTCACAGCCTGGCTCTGAGGTCAGGGAAGCAAGTATCTGGATCTTTTCCTGCCAGTTTCTGACCAGACACCCAAGCGTGCTACCTGCTCCTAATTCCTGTTCCTCACCTGCAAGGGGAGAAAACTAAAACATTATCCATTCAGTCATTACTAGTAATGAAGTACTTTATTTGCAGTAGTGAGTACATTGCGCCTGGCCAATACTAGAAAAAATAAAAACCAATTTCCCTTTTTAAGAACTTCAAGAAAAAGTGACTTTTGTATCCATTCTAGTGCCTGAAACATGATACATGTTCATCAAATTTTTTTGTGAATTAATTACTTTCTCCTTTTATTTTATATATGTTGAGGTCCTAGTTGTATAAAATCATAGTAACAAAAGTTAAAGGTCACGTACTAGTTACAAGCAAATTGTTATGTATGAGAGCTATTCAACAAAAATATATTTTTTTAAGCGTGTACCAGCTGGGCTCGGTAGCTCAGCCTGTAATCCCAGCACTTTGGGAGGCCGAGGAGAGTGGATTGTCTGATCCTGCAGGTTCAAGACCAGCCCAGGCAACTTGGTGAGACCTCGTCTCTACAATCAATAAATAAAAAATTAGCCAGGCATGGTAGCGCGTGCCTGTAGTTCCGGCTACTTGGAAGGCTAAAGAGGCAGGATCACCAGAGCCCAGTAGCTCAACGCTGGGTTGGCCGTGAGTGTGCCATTGCATTCTGGCCTGGGCGACAGAGTGAGATGCCAACTCAAAAATAAAAAAGTGTGTACCAAGTTTTTAGAAATTGTATTTTAAAAAACCATCAGAAAATGCAGTGTCTAGCTTTGGTAGAATAATTTTTAAATTATTTCCTTATCTCAGAGATTTTATTTATTTACTTATTTTTGCTTAAACTTTCAGTAAACATAAGTAATGTTCAATTAAGCAATTACTAGTAATGTTGCACTTTGGGGCATATTTTATGTTCATTAGAATATTGTGAAACTGACTTATCACTTGTTTACTTTGTAAATAACCGTCTTAGAAATGCTCATATAGTGTTTCAATTTTATATTTTTTAATATGAGATTTTTTTTTTCATTTTTAAATCTATTTGGAAAATGATGATACCGAGTGACTTGTTGTGTGTGTCTGGAGTTGTGTCGCTTGTGCTCATGGACTTTGTGAAGCAAAAGCAATGGATTGTTACATCTCCATTGTCCAGAACAAGACCAAGAGAGGTCAGTGGCATGGACCACTAGGACCTAGGATCTCCCCAGGATCATAGAGGGTCATCTGTAGGCAGATTGTACTCCTCATGGGTCCTGTTGTGTGGGCTGCTCATCAATAGTGTAGGCCAGGTACCCATTTTACAGATCAGAAGGCAGAAGCCTGGATGTCTCAGAGGTGGTAGAGTTCTATGGCCAAACTCACCTCACATCCAGATTTTTACAGAAAAATAACACATATCCTAACATTTGACTCTGGGTGATAGGTACTCAATGAAAAATATCAGTCCTGGATATACAGTTTTGGTGTCATAAACTAGTTTGCAGATTGTAGGAAGGTGGAGCATCAAATGAGGGGCCTTAGTACATGCTCATACTTGTGTATATCAGGAGAGATTCTTGCTAATAAAAATTCCAGAAGAGAATTCCAGAGGGTCATAGCACAAGCAGAATTAAACTTCAGCAGCTGAAAATTCTGAAATAGAAATACATGAAAATGGAAAAGTAATTAATTTTCTCCCCCAAATATATGCATGGCCATTGTACATCTAAGAAAAATTTGATATAAATCCCTTCACCAAAAAGCTGAATGGAGTGTTTTTCATGGAAGCCCTGTATAGTTATCACCATATAGACTGAGAGATATTTCTAGTGTTTGTGCAAAATCAAGATTTATGTGCAATTATCTTCATGGCAAATGTTCCACAAGTCATAGCTGTTAAGAGAAAATAAGATGCAAATGAACAACAGGAAGCAGAGCCATTACCTGGGGATTGGGGAAATTTGAGAAGATAGCCTAATGAGTGAATTTGTTTAAGATGGAAAGTTGGCAAGTTTTATTCCAGTTCACTGGATTTCTGCAAACAGGGATTATTAAAGTGAGGATCAAAACACAGCTCTGAGCAAAAAGCAAGTGCTCAGAGTTAGTTACAGGTGAAACTCAGGAATGTGGTGCAGTTTGTGGTTTTGAAGATGGAAGGTTTTGACTTTCTTGTGTGTGGGTTCCTTCCTTCCTTCCTTCCTTTCTTCTTCTTTATTTCTACTTTTAAAATAAACACTATTTGGATCAAGGTAACTTCCTTCTTCTTTAATAAATATAGTATTTTCTCACATAATAGCTTCCTGAGTTCCAACTCTTTTATATATCTTATGAATATGCATGAAGAAGAATTTTCTGGCAGGGCTGTACAGTCAATCAGAGCAGCGACAGGGAGAGTAAGGAGATGGGTGGTATCTCCTGATCTGGTAATTAAGTTATGTGACTCTATAGAATTTAGTTTTCAGCTTTGAAAAAAATTTCTTTAAAGGTGAGGTTAAAAATCTCTATGTCTGTGGTCAGTTCTCCCACCTGAGGCCTCTGCCCTGGACACCACATGCTCACCTGTAGAACTGCTCTGAGTCAAGGCAAAGAGAACCTCAAATTAAGAGAGTAATGATGAGCTGTGGACAAATAAAGGGCTTCTGAACATGCCTTCCAAATATGCTGTGGTAATAGGATTTTTAATAGCTGATGGCAATTGAGAAGAAAGAGATACAAGAAAAACTTACTGCCCTGACCCTATTTGCCAAAAAGTAGTACAAGAATTGACTCAAGTTTCCCCTGCCCTCTCTACTGAGAAGGACAAGTGTTTATCCTGAGAGAATTCTAGGCCTTCACCAACCTGGAAACATCCAGAAGCAGCCATGGGACAAACCTCACTAACAAGCCCTTATCTTCCTTAGATTAATTCCCCCATACATTTGCCTTCTCACAATTTGTCCCCTAGAAACCCAAAGTCATTTTCTTTTATCTTGTCACTTCTCAAAAAGTACTATAGATGCAACATAAGGCCAAATGCTAACTGGAGTTGTTCAGCACCGAGTGCTCAGGGGTACTCCCTGTAAGCCTAATGCACATGTTAATCAACTTCTGTTTGTTTTTCTCTTATTAATCTGTCTTATGTCAGTATAATTTACACGGCCTCAGAAAATTAACCTAAGCAGGATCAAGAGAAAAGATTGTTTCTTCCCTTATAAATGGATGTGAGTCATCTCTATTCAGAAAAGAAGTTATTAACTTAACAGCTAAAATCTATCAAGTACCAGCAGAAATGTGAGGTTATCATAATGAGAATTGTGTTTTTCTGGGGGAGATTTCTTAATACAAAAATATATCTCTTGTACAAAATTTGAAAAGAATAAGAATCTTCAAGCTTACAAAACTATTTTTTAAATCCAGTAAAGTATTTTATAATAAGAAAAGAAGCTAGAGTGTAACCATTTTTTGATCAATTAACCTTAAATAACAATATATTAATGTTGGTTAACAATAAGAAATGATCTTTCTAGCGACTTCCATTTTCAAGGGTAGTGGAGAAAGATAAACATCGTTCTTTATATGTAACCAGGTGGTTCTTGAATAATTGCCAAGTGTCTACTAAAACCCAGCCTTTGATCTGAGGTAGAACTCTGAAGAAAATCCTACCTAACTTTAAGGAGATGTGCAGAAATAGGACACACATACACAGGTAGTGTGAATGAGGGAACCCGTTTTTGTTTTTTTTTTTCTGGTATATAAACATAAGGAAAATCAAGATCTCATAGAGGAATAAGCAAAAGAGCTGGAAATTTCAGGCTGAATATTTTGAAAGGTGAAAGAGAGATTGAGTGTTATGTCCAGAGCCATGGCAATATGAAGACAGGTCTATTTTTATTTTATTTTATTTTATATTTTATTTCATTTTAGAGTTGGAGTCTCACTCTGTTGGTCAGGCTGGAGTGCAGTGGTACATTCGTGACCACCCCAGCGTCGACCTACTGGGCTCCGGCAATCCTTCAGTCTCAGCCTTCCAAGTAGCCAGAACTACAGGTGCATGCTACCACACCCAGCTAATTTTTTGATTTATTGTGGAGATGAGGTCTCGCCAAGTTGCCCAGGCTGATCTCGAACCACGGGCTCAGGCAGTCCACTCTCCTCGGCCTCCCAAAGTGCTGGGATGACAGGGTGAGCCACTGAGCCCAGCTGAAGACAGGTCTTAATCTGATTGTAAAGGTCCTGAATCCCATAATGAGGAGTCTGAACGCAATTCTGTGGGCACCAGGAACCTTCAGATGCTTTCATAAAAGGCACAGACGAAAGCAGGTTTTATTTCAGAAAGGCCACTTTGGTGATAACATGAAGGGGATGGGATGGAAATCACTGCAGGAATCGGTCATGATCTCCTTCTGCTGAGGTAGAGAGTGAGACTGGGTAGGATGAACCATTCTGCAAGAGACATTAAAAAGAAATCAATGCAACACAGTGAAAGAAAGCCAAGAAAAACCATGGCTGGGTTTCTTGTTTGGAAATTTGACTTATGAGGGAAATGTTTGAGGTCATTAACTCTGATAAGGAACACAGGAAGGTGACCTGGGTTCAGATGAGAAGTTCAAGTTGATGGTAGATATTTGGGAGAAAGGGAGAAGTGAGGGAAGACACCAAAAGAGCAAAACAAGCACGTGGCGTACCACTCACAGGAGGAAGACAGGTGGGAGAAAGAGCCCAATGGCTGAGGCTGGGAGATGGTGGCCAGAGTCTATCACAGACCCAAAGCAGTGCATCCAACATCCTGTGAGCACTTGGGATTTGTCAGACCCATGCCAACCGTTGTACAAGCTTCTCTCTAAAACAATTCTAAGAAGTAACTGTGCTAACTGGTGAGAAATCTGGGCAAGGTTAGTGATCTGACAAGTCACTCAGCTGTTTAGAGGTGAGGGGATTTAATGCAGGTCAGGCCTATAAGCACTCTGACTCTGCCACAAAAGTGCTCCAACAATGACAAGGGTAGGGTAATTATTGCATTTGGCAAATGAGGGACCATGGCTGACCTTGAAATAGGAAATATGAGTTGAGTTGTTTGGGCAACCGCGGTGAGTTTAGAAGGGAATCCAAGGAAAATGAATGAAAATCCCAAGTGTATTATACCCCTGGGTCTCGTGAGGGTTGGATGCTCTGTTTTGCAATGTCCAAGCTGTAGCCTCCTCCTTGGGCTCTTACTGCCAGTTGAATTCATCCCACATCATTACTTTCCTGAGCACGTGCAGGAAGCTGAGTGCCTTGCCCTGACGACTGTGCTGGACCGTGCACAGTGCGCTGGACTGTGCAGAGCTGTGACCCCATGCACAGTGACCCTCATCCTCTCCATCCTGCCCTTGCTCATATGCGCCCCACACTGGGAGGATACAGGTAACTGCTCACTGCTAGACCCTGAGGAGGTCATCTTCTTCCCCAAGCACTCGGTGGCTAAATATTCATCCCAGAACCTCAAGAAGTGATCCATCATGGAATTTTTCATAACTGCATTATGCTACACTTTAATAATTTGGTCGTCAAAAGAACAGACAAGTGCAGGGCAGAGTTGTGTGGGAACAGAAGTGATGGTGTGGAATATCGGGTTTGGGGCCAGAGAAGAGTGTTGAAGGCCCTAAAGGCTGAAGCCTTGAAGACCCTGCAGGTGCCTCTCCTGGGTCCCCCTGTCACGGGAGGCCCGACTGGGTGCTGGGGAGACAAGGGAGCCTGGTGTGATTTCAGCCTTCAGGGACTTGCAGTCCAAAGCACCGCAAGTTTTTCTAACAGCTTTGAGTCACTTAATGTCCTCTTGCATCAAAATCACTAGTTCAAAATATGGGAGGAGGCTTTCAGATAGCTTAATCCTACCAAGCTTCCTCATTTAAATATTTTTCTGGAATATGCTGTGGTACTTAATTTGGGATTTTCCTCTTTAAAAATAATTTGGCCAGGTGCAGTGTTTCATGCCTGTAATCCCAGCATTTTGGGAATCTGAGGCAGGAGGATTACTTGGGCCCAGGAGCTCAGGACCAGCCTGGGTAACATAGTACAACTTTGTATCTACACACACACACAAACTCTTGGTATCGTGGCAATGTGCCTGTAGTCCTAGTTACTCAGGGGTCTCATGGACTTCAGTAGGCTGAGGCTGCCGTGAGCTATGATCATGCCTTCATGCCTCTGCACTCCAGCCTGGGCAACAGACTGAGACCCTGTTTCAAAGTAATAATAATAAGTGTATTTCTGTAGAGATGTATAATGCTCAAAAGCGTTCTCATATTCTGTTTACTTTTAGGAATCGGTGTACTTCCTTTGATGAAGTACTGATGCTACACAACTTAACGGAGTGACAGAAGTGACTTTGTACATGCCCAGAAACATGTGTCATCTTCTTGTTACTCATGTGGAGGTTCACATTTTAGCCTAGAATTGGAATCTTAATCTATTTAACATTCCAACTACTAAAACAAAAATTAAAATGGGAGTGTTTTCATGGGACACTGCCGGTATGTTTGAATAATTTATCTTTTGTTAAATGCACGACTTAAAATGGACAGATATTACTATGAACTTTATCACCAGTTTATATATAAAATCTAAAGGGAACAAAACGTTATTCAGAATCATGAGAAGTAAGAAATGAACGTAAATAACCCCCTCTCCCCATTCCACAAGCAGCTCTGAGAGGTGGGTTCTAATGCCTCATTTTACCAAGGAAACGGGGTTCAGGAGGTGAAATAACCTTCCAGGATTTCACAGAAGTCATGTGGTTATTGCTACAGTGAGCTGGGTTTAATGAATAAGTCTAACAATGGCATAAAGTTGTCTAACTTCAATTGTGCTTGGACCGTGTGATATTCTGTTCCGTAGGAAAGACGAGGGAATCTCACATTGACAACATCTTGGAAGAGAGCAGGCGCATGGTGGACACTGCCATCTATAACACAATGGAAAGGTGAGGTCTGCAAAAGGGGACGTTGCAGAGTGCTGCCCAGTAGAAGCCAGCACTCCATGAGATACTTCCCATGCCCTGTCTATTTTAATTTTCACAGTTTCCCCCCAAATTGGTCCAAGACCCTAGTTTGCAAATGACAAACTGAAGCTCATTTGAGTTAATTCACTTTTCCAATATCACATGCAAGCAACTGACAGAATTTTACTCTAAATTTAATCTCACATTATTTCTTTGGCAATCCAGGAGGAAGCACCGTGATGCAATCCATAAATACATGTATATATCCTGAGTTAAAAGAGAATACAGATTGAAGTCCTGATTTTAAAAATGAACCTCTCTTTTCAAGAATTAGGACACATTAAGGAGAAAAAGAGTGATCTACATCTCAGATTTTTCGTATTTGGTTTTTGTGACATAATGTAACATTACCTATGTTACATGATAAAAATTCAGATCTTTCCCTCATTCTTTTTGGAAATAATTAACAAATGCCTTAATATTAAATATATAACAGATGCCAATATAAGGATATTATGGCCTCAGATTACATGTTTAAACAAAACACAAAACAAAACAAAAAACTGCTAAACAGTTTTGTCCTCATAAACTCATTATTTTGTTGGAAGTTGACCAATAATTATATAAGCTTTCAAAATATAAAGTATTGCAAGACAGTAGTTGATTTATTTCAAATTTCTACAACTGCAATCTGAAAATTGCCTTATTGTCCATATTGGCAACCTGCAAATTCTTGCTTACCTTCTAAATACTTGGATCAAAAGGGAAAGAAGGAGAGAAAATATTTCTCATAAGCTCATACAAGTTCTACCATGTATAAAATGGATATAAATTACTACAGAAGAAACGAGAATAGGAAGTGAATATCAAGTGCACAGCAAAAAGTGGAATCCAGTGTTTTAGTAACAGCTGTATAAGAACATGATCCATATGAAATAAATGCCCCTGGCATCTCAAGAAGGTTTGTTGTGGTAGAGCCAAGGGAGAGGTGTCTGGAAGACTTCACCAGAATGATTTGCTTTGCAATAGCTCTCATAAAGTACCCTATATTCATACTCAAACTATATTTCTTTTTTTTAAAAAAAAAAGCTCTTTCTACTATGTAACAGTCATGGTGCTAGACACTGGGAATAGAAAAATGAATGAAATCATTACATATACTCAAAAGTCCACATCTCTTCTATAAAGACAGATGCATGAATAATGCACTTAATTGAAGGATGTGTTTATTTCAGAGAATCAGAACAGATTATGGTTAGTCAGCTGATAGAGAACAAACCTTGAGTAAAAGTTTTAATAATAAAATATGTTTATACTTCAAAACAAATCTAGTTGCTTTAAAGCGGAAGATAAAACCAAAACACTTTTCTGAATAATAGCCAAAGCTAGAGCTGTGACTAAATTGTTCCTTACACTCACTCACGGATGATGGTACACTTTTGAAAAGAAGTACAGAAACACAGAGCATGACCCATGAAGGTGTCAAGAACAGGGAAGTAGGGTGAAATTCCACCCTACTCACAAGTTTTTCGTAGTTGGATTAGACCAAGGACAAAGGATAGATGCAGCAAGAATTTTAGCATTTGTGCTCTTTCTCTGAGACCAATTCCCATAGAGTGATGCAGGAAAGACCAGGTGGTGGCTTCCCACATGGTGGGTTGCATCTTGTGAGAAGAGCCCTGAGTTCAGGGAACCCCGTGTCTCACAGTGTGGTTTGAGCATGCTGGCCACCTGCTATGGAGGGGAGAGCATCTTTGTTCTACTAAAGAAATATAAAGTGTTCTGGAGGAAAATACAACCTCTGCTTTCCAAAGCTGGCCACTATGCAAACATCCTTGAAAAGATAATCTGGGGCAATAGTAGTCAGCAATGTAATTTGATTTGATGTGGAAAAAAAAACCCAGACCTATGGAAAATGTCCACACCATCAAGGCCTTTTGCTAACTCTCCTGTGATCCTGTCCCTCTGTTGCTCCCCCTAGTTAATCTGACTGGCAGAGGTTGCAGCCAACTTTGTTTATCCCACAAAGCATTTAATCAGGGATCTTATCTGCATAGCCCAGGCAACAGGATGTGGCAGACCTCAACCTTTCAGCTTTGTTTAGTCCCAGATGCAATCAGTTGAACACATCTCAAAATCCACCAGGGTCTCCCTTAGAAAGCCTTGTGTTTCCGAATTCACCTTTGCACGTGGTCAGAGCATTAATTCCTTACATCAGGATGCATTAGCAATTTTACAGACCCCTACCTGCCCCTCGAGGACATATAGGGCGGTTCTTCCCTACAGTACAACTCTGACCAGTGAGTTGAGGCTGACCAGAGGCTCCAAAGGGCATTATTATCTATTAGGAAGAAAAGAAAACTGGGGCACACCAGGGCAAAGTGTCACAAGTGGAATGGAATGATGGAAGACCATTTGGCATTCTTGATGATCATGATCGCCATGGGCCCTATAGATGGACCTGTCTTCTTGCTTTAGGATCATGTATCAAATGACCTTTCATTCCTTCGTTCTGCAAACACATAATGCAAGCATAATAGCATAATTCTCAGGCCACTGAGTGGTCCATAGTCTAGTGGAGAAGAAAGCATCCTTCATCTTCTTTGTCACAGAGTAGAGGAAGAGAGAGAGAGGGAGGGAGGGAGAGGGGGAGAGGCAGAGGGAGAAGGAGAAGGGGAGGGGAGAAGAGGAGAGGAAGAGACAGAAGGAGAGGGAGAGGGAGAGAGAGACAGAAAGATACAGAGAGCGGAAGAGGAAGAAAGAGGGAAGAGACAGGGTGCAGGGCCGGGGTGCAGAGCCGACAAGATCCTCGATAAATCCCAGACATAAACCTAACTGAGTTTAAGAGTGTGTACCCAGTAGTAGGACCGAATGCTGATGACAACAATCTCTAAGACTGGGCTAGCAGGGAGAGTTCTAAGACATGGGCCTGGGCTGCACCACTGCCATGGGCTCAACTGTGACAGCCAGACTCTGTGGGGTGGCAAGTGAGGTCAAGATATGCCCATTGCTCATGGCTGGGCCATCTAGTCATGTGTGGCTGGTAATGCGTGGTCCCACGGGAGTGTAGGGCTTGGGGTGAGCATGTGCTTGGCCTCTCGGGAGCCCCTCAGGCAGGGGAATTCAAATTGTTCCAACCATGGCAGAAAGCAGGAGTTGCAGTTGGGCCAGCTCAACCTACCATAAGGAGCAAGGGCCTTGCCAGCCTCATGCCATCTCCCTGTGGGGTCCTCACCAACCAAGACCACACTTCATTGAGGGAACCTACCCTGAATAAGTCAAAACTTTCATTTACAGACTTTTTAAAAAGTCTAACCCTGATGAATGTTGATAGTTTGTTTTTTTTCTTACTTTCTCATGATAACTACACAGTTCCTATATTCAAATCTGGCACAGAATATGGCTGGAGCAGTCTCCCCCCTTTCCTGCCCAAAGTAATTTCAGGGCAAAGCAAAAGCGTGTGCTTTAGGATGCTGGTGATCCAGGGAAATCAGAGGACAAAGAACCAAAGGCTCTCCTGGGTCTCAATTGCTCGGGGAGTTGAGCAACTTGCGGCCTGACCCGGCTCACCTCCATCGAGCAGTAAATCCCTTCCTTTTTAGCATTCAGGAAGTTTCTGATATTCACAGTTTCCTGTGAGTTCGAGAGCATGTTCAATCTGGGATAGTCTTCCCTCAATTGTTGAGACCATTTGAGTCTGTTTACTGTACATGTTGAGACATTCGGGCGTTGCCGGGTGCATATTGAACAGCCACAGGGGTGTTATCACTTAATGAAAATGACACTGTTGGACAGTGTTCAACAGTCCTGCCGGATCCAGTGCTAATGAGAACTTAAATTTAGTATGGCTTTTCTGGTCAACTCTTCACTGTAAGAATGCTGAGCCTCCTGGAGTCAAAGCTCCCTCAACTTGAGTTCCAATTCAGATATTTTGCAGCAAATAAGAGTCTGTATCTGTTATCTCTTAGCGCCTTGCTTGTGTTCTGAAGCTGAGACTTACAGTGCCTGCACCTCTGGCCTAGACTGCAGATGGTGGGCGCATGAACAGGGCACCCTCCAGCTTGCCAGGTGGTTGATGCTAATGTCTTGCCAAACTCTAATGAGCTGAGCTCGCAGCAGGCTGGGCTCCTCAGAACTTGGGTGTGGAGGGGAGGGGATATGTCAGCAAGAGCAAGTCCCTCTCAGGAGCTATGTGATGGCTGCAGGATAAGCCAAGGGTAGAGAGGGTCATGTGTCCTTGGCATAGACCCTTCATTGTCAGCAAAGAATCACGAGGGCTGAAATATCCAGCCCAGGTGCAGGACACAGGGTGGGAGCTGTCCAACTGAGAAATCAGGCAGAGAATGTAGGGCAGTGGACATGATGAGAAGTAGCCCTCTACAACAGAGTGCTGGCTGCAAGGGGAGACTCTGGCTCTGAGTGTGGAAGTCTGATGGTGTGCAAGAGGAGTCCACAGCAGAGGACACGGTGGACCAGGAGGGGGCAGGCAGGCTGTAGGATGGGTTCCGGCCATGTGACTCTTGGCAGGAAAGGCTCAGGGGCCTGGTCTGGGACCCTGTCAGGTGGTGATATCAGCTAGCATGGAGTTAAGAGCTGAGCTCAGGTTCCCAGACCCCAGCTTCCTGACTTCCCCTTTTGGGACCAGATTGTGTCGTCTCTTGAGTGCCAGGCAAAGGAAGGGATGAGACAGAAAAGCCCTCGAGTGAATGTGGATGTTGTCCTAGGTGGTACAGAAAGTGTATTTCATCAAAAGCCCTGGGCCTCGAGATCTCCAGGAACATCTTGGAAATTCTCAGAACCTTTTGAAGATTAGAACAAACAGATCTCTGGACTTTTTGATGTTAGCAATCAGAATGAGCAAATGGGGTTAGAGTGTCCATCTGACTCTTCCCTTAAGTTCTAGTCCAGGGCAAGAAAGCAAAAATGATGAGATCTGAGTCATTTAGCAGCTGTGGCACCAGGAGATGGGGGAGATGTGACTGTGTGGTGTCTGTGTCAGGTGCACACATGTGTATATGTGGTGTGTGCACGTGCAAATGTATGTTGTATATGCACACACGTATGCATCTGTGTGTTGCATGCCATGTGTGTCATACATGTTGTGTGCAGTATATGTGTCCATCATGTGTGTGATTTGTGTGGTGTATGTGTGTGTTTGAGTTCCAGGAACAACTTGGCTCTGAAGACAAGGAGCTTTTTATTTAAGTATTACTGAAAAGTAAAGGGCAAAAATGTATAGTCAGAGAAAGAGTTAAAGATAAAATATCCAGTTATGCATCACTTAAAGAAAGGGCTACATCTGAGGAAAGCATCCTTAGGCCATCTTGTCTTTGTGAGAACATCCTGGAGTGACTTACACCAACCTACACCTAGGTGGTGTAAACTACGACACACCTAGGCTATATGCTACAGTCTTTTACTCTTAGGTTGCAAATCTGAATGTTACTGTGTTGAATTCAGTAGGCAACTGAAACACAGTGGTACATATTTGCATATCTAAACATATCTAAACAAAAAAGGTATAGATAAAAACACAGTATTATAATCTATGGGATGACCTTTGTCTAGGTGCCCTGTTGTTGACTAAAATGACCTTCTGTAGCATTTCACTGTGTGGATGTCTTCCATCTTTGGTTTTTAAAGTCTACAGAGAGGAAAGAGGCTGTTGTGCATGATCTCAAAGAGACCAGTGAAGTGCATATGTCCTGAATCTACTCTGAGTGTCCTGGCAGAAAACTAGCAGAAGGTATACTCTGTTAGGAACTCAGGGTTGAGGCGAAATCCATTTGAACTGGGATATTATTAAATTCCCCAAAGCCTTACTAACACACTAAAGAAAAGGATGAACACGTAGATTTAGGATTTGAGCTTTGCTTTCATACCTTTTGGGGAGGAAGGTCACAGCCTTTGCACTTCCTTTGTATGGTGTGCCCCCAAGTGTCCCATGGCAAGTGCAGCTTCTAGGAAACTGGATCTGCTCTGTCGTGTTAGCCTTTTAAAAAGCAACCTTGTTCCCGTGGATCTTCTCCAAACAATCAGACTTATTTTGTGCTCCAGGGTTCCTTCTGATAGCAAAATTCCTTGCTCAGTTAGATTTTGGATAAATGCCTAAAAGGAAAGAGTGAAGTTTTGGAGGGTCATTGTTTTGTCTCCCACGTTGAGTCTCAGAGATTGTGTACAAACACATGAGCTCTGACTTTGCTGCTGTGACTGGCAAAGTCTTTTGTCTCTGGCTCAGAAATGTCATGACTTCTGCTAGTATTCAAGGAACTGTGTGGCCAGCTAATATGCTAGTCATAGTAGCTAAAACCTCAGTCTCCTCAAAGTTCATGACTTCATGGTATCTTTTACAAACATGTTGGCAGGTCTAAAACATAAATATTTGATATCTTAAGTCATGTGCCATATGCATTTATATGTATATTCACTTATTTCTGATATATATATGGTATGTATATATTTTTTGCTTCTTAATATCATCTCTCACTCACTGGATGTCTTATCTGGTACGAGCTACTGAAATTTCAATAAATTAACCTCTTCATCTGAAAAGTGAACACAATTATAGTATTTATCTTATTTTTGAAAATGTATCTATATTGTGTATATTTCAGATGTGCAAAACGTTATTTTGATGTAAATAGGGAAATGATTGCTACAGTCAAAACTAACATAACCAACACCTTACATAGTTGAACCTTTTTGTGATATGAGCACTTGCAATCTCTCTTAGCGAGTTACAATACTATACTACTAACTATAAGAGGAATATAGGTACATGCTGAGCATGGCACCTAAAACTTTATTTTCACTCAGTAAGCACTGTATATTTTGGGTTATTGTTAATAAATGAAAAATGTAAATAATCTATTTAATTACAGCAATCAGAACTAAAAGAACAGATCACTTTTCCCAACGCCAGTGTGAGGCAACTCTGAGTTCTTCCAAGCCTCATATCTGACTGGCAACAGGAAGGGGATTTTCCTGTCAGCTCCGTGGTTCTATCTGGCCCCCAACACTCACATACCTGCCAGGGTCCCTTGGATAGTGCTGGCCCCACCTCACCTGGAGAGTGTCCTCTCTGCAGGTGACTCACCTAGGCAGCTGTCTGGTGCAGGTGTCTGGAGCCCCGGAACACAGTCTGATGTGGTCACTCTGTCCCTCTCTCAGGGCCTGGCCTATGCCAACCTCACTGTCCAAATGTGGCCGACTCACACTTACAAGAAGGAGAGTAAGGTTGGTCCTCAGTTAGTTACAAGGTACTGGAGCCTTGTAATTCCGCTCTGCAGGTGCTTGGGACATAATCCGAACATCCCAGGTGTTAGCAGCATTGTTGTAAAGGTCACTTCTGTCTTGTCTGACCAAGGACCCCTAGATCCCCAAATGCTAGTAGGCAAGGGACACTTGATACCCCTGGACTGGTCTCCAGCAGCTAGAACTGCTGAAAACCCTACAAAGTCCGGTGCCCCCGTGAGAGGACAGGAAGCCACCAGCAGGTGAGACAAGGCCAGCGAGTGAGAAGAGGCCAACCGGTAAAGAGAGGCCAATGGGTGAGCAGAGGCCAGAGGGCGAGGAGAGGCCAGCACCTTAGGCTGACTTCACAGGTGTCTTACGCTATGAGGGCAATTTAGCTCTTACAACTTGGCTGCTGGGGTCTGAGGCTGCAGTGATTGGATTCTTTCCATTGGAGTGGGAAGGGCGGGATGTGGAGACCGGTCACATGTAGCCTCAGCACGTGCTGGCCCAAAGACCTGGGCAGGGCTGTGTCTCAGGTTTTGGACACTGGGATGTAAGCACATAATGCTTAGGTTCTAATGATATGACCGCTCAATAGCTGATATGAGAGTCAAATGATCCCAGGTGTGGAAGTTTTATAAAGGGCAAATATTTGCTATTCTCTTCACTGTTCATTGGTGATGCAGTGCTTATATTTATATTCTGTTCCTTTTACTAAACCCACTGATCCTGTGGAAGGGAACTGTATAAGTTTAATCTATACATCCCCCACAGTGCTCAGCACATTGTCTGATACGTGGCAGTTGCTCCATGAATGTCTGCTTAATTAGCAATTAAGTACCAAAGCCACCACAACAACTTTATTTTCTGTTTTTCCTTTGTGCCACAGAAACCTCAAAAAAAGGGACACCATTTCCCCAGCTCAGCTTCTGTCTTTTTCTAAACTTCCTGAGCCAACTAGTGGAGCTATTTCCAGAGCAGCAGAGATCATGGAAACTTCACTACAAGTGATGAAAAGAAATGTTCACCTGGAGCTTAAACAGTCCCAGCATCCAACTGGTGAGTGCCTCACATGCACCACGCCCCCACCCTACCCAGAAGGGGCAGCTCCAAGCACAACAGATTGACTTTGCCAGGGGTTGCTTGTTCAGGGAGTTTCTTATTTGACACCAAGCAGGATGTGATGCTGGCTCCTTCACAGCACAAAAACTGCAGTCCTTGAATCTGCTCACCCCAAAGTCTCAATATCTTATTTTTGTTAGTCTGAAAAATAACGGCTTCTCTGCTATTCAAATCAAACCAGCTCCATAAGCTAAGTATCGTATTTTGTAGTATGGAATAATTCAGGAGTTTTCCCATAGACTTCCTACCTGGTTAAAACTTGGTGAGTTCATCAACATAAGCTCTTAGAGGACAGGGATCTCTGTGGGAGGCAGCATGTTTATGAGCAGAGGACTAGATACAAGTCTCGGCTTTCCACTGAGTAACCATTGCCTTAGCCTTTGAGAGCCAATTTTCTCATCTCTAAAATTAGGAGGATAACGCTGTTCTCTCAGATGGAAACCAAAACATAAACAAGGGGCAATAGATCTAAAGCACTTTCTGGACAGAAGAAATTGTGATGCTAATGAATGCAATCAGTTCCTATGGTGGGGGAAAAAAGCAAAATATCTTTTTAATGAAACAGTCTAGATTTCTTCAGTGCATTGCCATGAGCCACTTGGTGTCTGAGCTCTTCCTTCTAACTAGCTATAGATTAATTTAGTGCTGGATTACTTCGCTTTTAGAATAAGACAAATCCAGCTAAACCAGGATCTACCAGAATTCTTAAATAATAAACTCAACAGTTGTTAATGATTTTATAACCACCAAAGATTCATTGGAAATGTTTTTTGTTTCAAACAGTGTGATTGACAGTGTTTCTAAGAACTATTGGCCCACTGTCCTGTCGTGGTACCAGCTAGAATGCCTGTTGGTGACAGAAGACGTGGGTCTTCCTGGTTCATGCTTTGGAGTCACAGTGCTGATTGCCCAGGTCTGTGGGTAGAGGCAGTGAAGGAGAGCAGGTTGATGTGCTTGGTCCAGGCCACAATGTAGAGTTAAGGATCCTGGAATTGAGGATGCTTTAACATTACTTCCATTGTAAGCATCACCAATCTAGAAAGTTTGGAATGTAAGGAAAATCGAAAGATCCAAATAGATGCCCCATGACTTCATCATCAAGCAATAACTGCATTAAATGCTGATGCCACTCCTTACAAGCTGTTTCTTAACGCTGGTTTTGTTTATTACATAGCTGTGGTCAGATGGTTCTTTTTTATTGCACATTACTTGTTATACTCAAGTACATGTTTAGAATTTTCTGCTTATGAAGTATTTTTGCTAATCTTTTCTAGAAATGCAGTCCTCCATAAATCGCACATTGTAGTCTAAGGTCTTGGAGAAGTAACTAATAATTAGTTTTACTAATGGACAACAAAGCCATCTTCACTTTGATTTGTTGAATGACATATAAATAGTGACAGAGTTGGCAAAAAAAAAAAAAAAAAAGGAAATTGTTTTGGGAGGCCCTAATCTAGAAAGATTTACAAGAAGGAAATAAAAAATCAATACAAAAACAAAGGTTTTATAGATGGATGGGTGAGAACTATCAGCAGCAAATTTAACCAAGGCAGCTTTTTAAAAATTTGGGTGGGAGGATAAATGCTACATATTCACTGTCTCCTAGAGAACTAGGGTTGTTGCAGGGTGTGAATGCCTCCTGGTACAACTGCAATGAATTAACGCTGGAGCTGTGCCAAGTGAGAGTTGACAATAACTCTGAGAAGTGGTCTACTGATTACCTCCCTGGAGCTGAGGGCTGTTAGATAGCTTTTCTAAATGACCATAGAGCAAAAATAAGCTTTAAAAGCCCACATTCCTAACAATAGAGAAGCTCGAGGGAATTAAATAAAAGAGCAATCAATTTAAAGGGGGAAGGTAGATTTTCTCAAACAAGTGATCTAGGACAGCAGTACCCAACCATTTTGGCAGCAGGGACTGGTTTCATGGAAGACAATTTTTCCACGAATGGCAAGTAGAGGGATCATCAGGTATTAGGTTATCATAAGGAGCACAGATCCCTTGCCTGTGCAGTTCACAGTAGGATGTGAGCTCCTCTGAGAATCTAATGCCCCCCTCACCCCCCATCTGACAGAAGGTGGAGCTCTCCTCATTGTCCACACACCTCCTACACACAGTCTGGTTCCTAATAGGTTACAGACCCAGTACTGGGTACATATAAATTCCCAATTTAGGTGCTTTTCAGACTGCAGTAGAAAATTTATTAAGTGGATTTGTAATTGCAAGCAGAGAGCTTAGGACTAGCCTGGGCAACATCGCAAGATCTGTCTCCACAACAAATTTTTAAAATATGTAAAAACAACAGAAGCAAAAATTGAGAGTTTATGGTTTCATATTTTTTCTCAGATGGTTTATCAGAAGATCTCCTGAAAGTAATTGCAAATATGTCCGGATGCCTGCCTTACATGCAACCACCAAAATGTCCAAACACTTGCCTGGCAAACAAATACAGACTTATTACAGGAGCTTGCAACAACAGGTATTGTCTGTGGATTTTCTTAATCTTCTCATAGTATAGCAGGAACACAGAGAGGCTGTGACACTGAGGCTGTTTTAGGAAGTAACGGATTTATTTATTAGCACCGGCATGACTCAGCAGGCAAACACTCCCAGGCTGAGCACCCCGGGGAGGGAAGAGAGGGATCTTATACCTTAGTTTAGGTAAGGGAGTGGGTCGGGTTGAGCGATTACACATTTTCTTTGGAATTCACAAGGTTGTACTCAGGAAAATCAGGTTTTAAAGAACAAATGGTCTCCAGGAAATGCATAGCAAGCAGGGGTTGTAAACGATGACTTCACAAAGGGTGAATTGGTTACCATTTTGCATCTCCAAGAAACCGTCCTTGGCTATTTGGTTTTCTCAAGCAAAACCTGTCTGGCAGGTTTTCGGAGTTTGCTGATTGATCTTCAAAAGGAATACTTTTAACTGTTAGGAGCCCCTCTCTGCCACAATAAAAGCTAGATTTTTAACTTGATTAGACACCACCATGAAGGGGACTATAGACCAAAATTTGTGATTCTTACCTCCCTCTGAGCACCTAGTTGCTGCTTTTGGACTAATGTTGCCCCTGTGTGCCTGGTGATGTCTCAAACACAGCATGGCCCAAGGAGAACTATTATTCTAAGTGACAAAACCCCATCCACATAAGTGCTTAGAAGTCACCTTTATCCTCTCTGTTCACCTGATGGCCCAAGTCACATCTCTAGGCGTTCTCCTTGAGTTCTCCAATTCCCTACCCATTGCTTCCAGTGCATCAGCAAGGCTGTTTCTTCTAACCCAAAACCAGTCCTCTCCACTTCATATACCCTTAGCCAAAGTCAAAATGATCAGTCAGCTGCCATTGAGCAGTGGTGGTCTCCCACTGGCTCTTCTGATTGAACTCTTGCTTTCTTCTGTTTACACTTCCACTGTGGCCAGTACCAATTCCATCACAATAGTCCCTTCTGAATGCCCTCCCTCAGTTCCCATTACACCCAGAATGAATTCAATACAGTGGGGATCTCCTGTATTGAGATAGGGTTGGTAGGGCAGGCAAGGCACTTGAGTCCATCTGGGAGTTCAGGGGAGGTTTCCTGGAGCAGATGATACATGAGTGAGTCAAACCTTAAAGGCTGAGTGGGGATTTCCCAAGTGGCAACAGAGTAGAGGTAGAAGGCTCTTAAACTCAGGAGAGAGCAAGGCGCATTTGGGCTGAAACACATCATGTTTGGCACACGGATGCATGGAAAAAGAAGGGGCTGGATTGAGGGCACTTGCCTGTGGGTGAGAGAGGGGTATAGCACCAAAGGATCACCTAGAAGCTTGTCAAGCTGGTGTGATATCACGACTGTTGTAGGTTTGATTTTCACAAATGCAGGCAGCAAGGCTCCTGGCACCAAGGAGCTCTGTCAGAGGGAATCTAACTCTCAGCTGCTGGGCATGTGAGTCAGAAGGAAGACACTAGCCTGAGAGTTGGATGGACAGGATCCAGGCATGGCCCTGGCCTTGAAAGACAGTGTCCTGAGACAGAAGCAGGGGCTTTAGGACAAGGAACAGGAAATGTGGATTCTGGGTGCTTATGGTGGCTAGGAGCAAAGGCTTTGCAACTATACAGTCCTGGGTTTGAAACCTGGAGTCAGTGCTCACCAGAGTGCAGTTTGTTTCACTTCTCTGAGCAATGAGATCCTGTGTGTAAAGCCCACAGTGAGAACACATGCATCTGTGTAAGGACCAGATCATGGAAATGTGGAGCCCCTGCTAGTGGAGGCAGCCTGTATTGACCACAGACATGGGTCAGACTTGCACAGGAGCTTGCTGTTCACTGCTCTTGCACTAAAGAAGAGGGGGTCTGCTGTGCTGTGGGCTCAGAGGTGGAGATGCCACAGCTCCTATCCTCAAAGTTGGTGGGAGACACAGGTGTAGATAAATGCTGCATGTAAGAAGGCAACAGTGCTTGGGAACACTGGGGACACTGACTCAGATGGAATGCATGACCTAGGAGGGATCAAGTCTAGGAAAGCACGGGGCAGAGGCACCTGCTCAACCAGAGGCTGGAGTGGAAATGTCTGCGTGTAGAGAATCAGAGCATTCACAGCAGGAACGGTGTGGGGTCTCATCTGCAGGGCACCTGGCGAGGGGGTAATGGGTATCAGTAAATGGACAGGTACAGGGATGGAAGTCTGATCTCTGAGCGGACTTCAGGTAGTGTTACTGATTTTTCTCCCTCAAAAACATTTTACTTTATCAAAGAAATATAGACATGCTCTACTTTACCAAAGAAATGTAGTTAAATATATACTAAATTTTCTGTTTCTAAGCACTGTTATCTTAAGAATCAGTCTCCACACACAGACTCCATGCACAACTTAAACAGCAGATGGCATTCACAGGTCACCCCAAAAAGGTCATATAGGGGGCAAATTGGTATTCAGGGCACCCGCACAGTCCCATGGCAGTCCCTCTTTGTTTTGGTTTCTCCTCTAAGGATGTTATCAGCTGCAAGTTGACATTTGTGATCCTGGAGTGAATGATTGTTGGGCATTCCTAGGGCATTTCTTCCTTCATGAGTGCCACCCTCCAGGGCTTCCTCTTTAACATGCTCATGTCTGCCTGACTGCTGCCTGTCTAGCCCAATACTTTCCCACACTCACAAGATGGCCAAGTTGTCCCTCCAGTTCTCTCCTGAGCTTCCTCGTTGTTATCTTGCTGAGACCCATACCTGAGTCTCTGCCTAGCCCTTCCCACTCTTGACTGAACTGATACTGCCTCTTGGGGTCCTTCCTGCCCCAGGGAAGTAACCTGACCCTTCCTTGCCCCCACAGCAGCCACATCCTTGTGTGGCATTAGCTCTCTGGTCTGTGTTTGGCTGAATTTGCATTTTTTGCTTCCCTGACCATGTGTTGGCTACCAAGGATGAAATCTTCAACATAGCACCCCACAGTAATAAGTTCCCAGTCAACAGTCTCGTTCATTACTATGTGGTTGTTTTAATGGTTTCTTTTATTGACCCTAAAAATCCCAGCAAGATTTACAGGTTGTGCTGTTGTGTTGTAAATTTCCAGTCAGCATTCTTTTTTTGGCTTAAAGAGGTATCCTTCCGACATCATATTTTTTAACTTACAAAATGCATTTTCCTTTTGAGTAGTTCTGGTGATAGAGCTTTGCTTCTACACCTTTACTGGGTCGGATTGTAACTGGATCACAGGTTCTCAAGCTCCTTTGCAATAGAAATTGTCAGGAAGACAAGCAGATTGTAGACGAGGTTTTACTGGGGGTTTATGTCAGAGCAGGTAGGAGACAGTCCCAGAGGAAGAGTTCTCAGCTGGCTCCCCTGAAGGGCTTCTAGTGGAGATTGGAAGGGTAGTCATGAATAATTCAAGGTGGGTGAATGTTGTTACATGGGTGGAGTGGGGTGTAGGAAATCATGGTAGTACACACATTGCATGATCAAAAAATGGTGGATAAGCTCCACCCTGGGCAGAGATTTTAGTATTATAATGAAGCAAAGGCTACAGTCAGTCACTTTTCTCTACTTTGTGCACATGCAGGCAAGGGGCAGATGAGGGACTACTGTCCTGAGCAAGATTTGTGAGCAAGAAATGTTGCTTATCTTAAGGTGTTTTAGGAGGCTGTGGGCTGTGGGATGGTGCTAGCAGGAGGATTACTGCAAGATCTAGTGGTTAAAGTATGAGGAAGTAGGGGTGGCCTACTCTGTCTCAGCATGACCGAATGTGTTTATTCCAGCGATGAAGGGCACATTGGTCATCTGCAGGAAGTTAGGATTTTTGTTTAAGACTCACCAATGGTCAAAATTCCTTAAACATTTCCAAATAATTAACTCTTGGATTTATTAATCATTGCTGCCATTTTATTTTTCCTACTTTTTTTTTTGAGTTGACATCTCACTCCATCATCCAGGCTAGAGTGCAGTGGCATGCTCATAGCCACCCCAAGCATCGACATCCTGGGCTCTGGCCATCCTTTCGCCTCAACCTGCCAAGTAGCTGGAACTACAGGCACATGCTACCATGCTTGGCTAATTTTTTAGTTATTGTAGAGATGAGGTCTCACCATGTTGCCCAGGCTGGTCTCAAACCTGCAATCTCAGGCAATCCTCTCTCCTTGGCCTCCCAAAGTGCTGGGATGACGGGCTTGAGCCACCATGCCTGGCCTTCTTACTTTTTTCTAAAACTTTATTATTATTTATTTCTTTTTTCTTTTTGTCTATTTCACTGTTACTGTCTTTCTTCTATAATTTAATTTGGATGCATAGCAGGATTTTCTCTACTTTCTTTTTCTTTCTTAAAAGTCATTTATTATCCTGTTGCTGCTGCTGTGGCACAGTATTTTATGTTTCTAAGTGATTTTTGAATGTTGGCTGTGATTATGCCTTCATGCCAAATGTTATTTAGAATTAACTTTTAAAATCCTAAATTTCTAAATAGTGTATCTTATTTATTTATTTGTTTGTTTATTTATTTATTTATTTATTTATTTATTTATTTATTTTGAGTTGGAGTCTCGCTCTTGTTGCCCAGACTGGAGTGCAGCAGCATGCTCATGGTCACTGCAGCCTCCACCTGCTGGACTTAGGAGATCCTTCCGCCTCAGCCTTCCAAGTAGCTGAAACTACAGATGCACGCCACCACATCCGGCTAGTTTTTGTGATTTATTGTAGAGACAAGTTCTCACCAAATTGCCCAGGCTGGTCTTGAGCCCACAGGTTCAGGCAATCCTCTCACCTTGGCTTCCCAAGGTGTTGGGATTACGGACATCCACCATGCAGCCCTAGGCCCGGCGTGTGAGTTTTTATATAGGCATACTCCATCAACCCCCAGAGGAGACTATAGGTAGAACTCTATCCACAGCCCAGAGAGCTACCTTTTTACCCTCCCAATTTGGGGGTCCCTCCAAAGGCAGTCACTATTTTGATCTTCATCATCATAGTTTTTCCTGACTTTTCCTTTTATGTGAGAGAAGTCAGACAGTGACTACCCTAT